TTTTTTTTTTTTAATTTTACACTTGGAGCCCTCAGCGAATTTTGTGTGCCATGAGAACCCACCCTACACCACAACACTGGTGCCGCAGTGTTGGCCAAACTCTGGAGTCCCCATCTGGTCTGACTTTAATATGGTGAATATGCATCTGGCCTGTACTGATCATGGAATAAACACATCTCTCTTTTTTAATGCTGGCGTCTCCCGGACGTTTCTTTGTGGACCACATGTTGCCTGGGCTGGGCCCCGGGCTCCAGACTACCTCTGTCCCCCAGCATCTCCAGTAGGAGTGCCACTTGGGGGCTCAGAGTGGCTACCACCCCCACAGAATCTGTGACAGGAAGCCAGGGCTGGGCCCAGGCAGGTAGATCCCAGCCAGACCCCAGACAGTGTTCTCCCCTGTGCCTGCCTCCATCTTTATCCCCCATTCACCGCCCCGAACTCCTTTTCATTTAAGCTCAGGGTTAATCAGATACTCTTAGATGCCCCCAAAACTCAGCCCGCCTGTCTGCTGTCCCCCCACCCCCCCAATGCACATACACACACCCCTGCTCCAGAGTCCACAGGTCACCTGCCAGCCCCACCTTTGGGCCTACAAGTATGCCTTCCCTACCCACAAGGGATACAGATACAAGTACAGTCATTTATCCATGTACAAACTGACTTGAGGAGAACGTTTCTCACACTGTTCATTCACCCACCAGACCTCATGGGTGAGGGTGTGGTTGAGGGTTCTGGCCCAGCCCACCCCCATCCTTACTGTCCCAGTCATTCTCCCCTCGTCCTCTGACCCCTCGTATCCTACTGTGCTGGTTCAAGTGTGACTTAGGTCTTGCTTCTTTGGGGTTCTTTCTATCATCTCACTCTACTTTTGTGTACCTTGTTTTGTTCCAAAGTGTCCCCTGGCCAGATCCAGCAGTAAAGATGGTTCCATCTGTTCCTTTCTCCATAGGTTTCCCTCTGCCACAGCCCTCTCCACACCCACCGGTGGGTGTCTCTAACTGGCTGTAATTAGAACTGGGACCTACTACTTAATTTCTCTGGCCGTTACCCAGTCCCTTTTGCAGCACTAGAAATCGTAGTCCTGTACAAAAGAGAACAAGGTGTGTACAAGCCCCTACTATACTGACTCTGCACAGATCGCTTGGCCAATGATCATGTCCGTGAACCTGAGACTTGTGTTAAACACTTTAGACATTTGTAGAAGGGGATCTTAGACTTCTCACTTATATACGAAAGGTTCTTCTTTTTCTTTTCTTTCCTTTTGTGCAGTTCTCATTGCAAAAATAAACATTTGTACTGAATATAAAGTTACCTTCCTATGGCTTCTGCTTTTTTATTTGAAGGTAGAGCTGGGAGGGTAGGGCAGGGTGGCAGGCCAGGATTGTGTAGCAGAGTAAGAAGGAGGGGTTCACCGACATACACCAGCCATGCAACCAGATGACTCGGGGGGACCCCAGGATCATCAAGTGGACACTATACCCAGAAGGCAGGAACCCAAGCATACATGTGCACCAGTGTTGGTTGCAGCAATCTAAATGCCCATCAGCAGGTGAATGGTTAAATAAAATGTGGTAGATATGTGTATCATTGGACACTGCTAGTCCCTAAAGAGAAGTGAAGTCCTGGTACATGCTGCAACATGGATGAGTCTTGAAAACCACGCTGAGTGAAATAAACCAGACACAGGAAATACTGTATGATTTCACTTACGCAAAGTACCTCAGTAGGCAAGGACATAAAGGCTTTAGTCTTTCTCCCATGGAGCAGATGGTGGGTTCAGAGGGGGGAGGGAGGGGAAAAGAGGAGGTCTTTGCTTAAGGGGGCACTGAATTTCCATTAGTGATGGTGGAGTTGCTCGGACAAAGGTAGTGGTGATGGTTGCACATGATGAATGAAATTACTAATGTCACTGAACTGTACAGGTAAAGATTGTTCCAGTTGGCAAATGTTGGGTTACATATGTTTTTACTGCATTTTTTTCCCCCAAAGTACGTAGATCTTTGACAAATCTGGGAAAAATAACTGATACACGGTAGCCCCTCAGTGGTGTAAATGGGTAACATGCGCAGCTGCTAACTGAAAGGTTGGAGGTTCGAGCTCACCCAGGAGCATCTCGGAGGAAAGCCTGGTGATCTCCTTCCCAAAAATCAGTCACTGAAAGCCCTGTGGGGCACAGGTCTGCTCTGACACACATGGGGTTGCCATGAGTCAGAGGTGACTCCATAGCAGGTACAAGACAGGCAGTGTAGCTGGACGGTATACCCAGAAGGCGCCAGGAACCCAGGCACACATGTATGTTCGACCCAGACGCATTGTTTACGGAGGCAGAAAAATGTACATTTAAAGCACTAAATTTTTTTGTGTGTGATGTGGGTGAATGTTTACAGAGTAAATTCACTTTCCATACAGCAGCTCACATACAGTTTGTCTCATGACATTGACTGCAATTTCCCAAAATACAACAGCACCCCTCCCACTTCCTCCCCCTAGTTACCTCTTCCCTGTGTCCTTCCCTCCCATGTACTCCTGCCCCCCCCCCAGCTGTCTCCCTGTGCACACATAGCCCTTCTATTCTCCCATGATTGTTCTCAAGGAGTGTATCCACCTGATGTAAATGTTCAGCTCATATGCCTGTCTTGTTTGGCTGGAAGCCACAGGTGTGGGTTCAATTCCAGACCTGAAGGGCAGCTAGGGGCCATAGTCTCAATGGTTCCACCAGGCTCTATTGGACCAGCAAACGTGGTCCCCTTCCCCCCGCAAAAAAATGATTTTGAGTTTTGTTCCACATTGTTCTCCCTCTCTATCCAAGATCTACATAGATCCCCTCTGAGAAGCACTACTTACTTTTAAGAAGCCACTTACAGACTTCAAAGTCCAAGGACAATGTAATGTTTACAGCCCTGATAATCTGAAAGTATGGGAAGGTGGAAGGAGAGGTGACAAGTGACAAAAACAGATGAGTGAAGTGTTAGAGAAAACCAATAGACAAGTTAAAAATGGTCCAGCATAGGTCAGTAGTGGTGATGTGGGCGAGATGGTACTGCAGCCAGAAGTCAGTGGGTCAGACCTCAAATTGGTCAGTTGAGAAGTAGCCACAAAAGCACGTTTAGAGAGACACATTTATGGTCAATTGATCTTTGACAAGTGTATACAGTGGGGATTACCCACCACCGTGGAGTTGATTATGACTCCTGGTGACCCTATAGAACATAGCAGAACTGCCCCATAGAGTTTCCAAGGCTGCAATCTTTACAGAAGCACAAAGCCTCATCTTTCTTCCATGGAGCAGGGAGCAGATGGTGGGTTCAGACCACTGGCCTTTTGGTTAGCAGCCAAATGCTTTAGCCACTGCACCACCAGGGTTCCTTCATTCAATGAGGAAAGAAGTGTGTTTTCAACAAATGGTCTGGGGCCATATAAAAGAAGCTGGACCCTTACCTCACACCATATGCAAAAATTAATTCAAAATGGAGCAAGGACTTAAACATGAGATCCAAAACTATAAAACTCTTGGAAGAAAATGGGTAATGCTTAAGAATCTAGTTTTCAACAATGGATTCTTAAGATGTGACGCCAAAAGCACCAGCAGCAAATGACAAAATAGACAACAAAATTACATTGTGCATCAAAAGAATTTATCAACAAAATGAGACCTGTGGATTGGAAGAAAAACTTTGAGAACCATATATCTGAGAAAGGTTTAATAGCCAGAATGTATAAAGAACTACAACCAAACAACGAAAAGATAAATGGCCCCAAAAATGAGCAAATGACTCCAACAAACATTTCACCAAATAGCCAGCAAGCAGTGAAAAGAAGTTCAACATTATCAGTCATTCAAAAAACCTCAACTCTCTGCCATCGAGTTGGACCTGACTCATAGCGACCCCTCCTTGGGTTTCCGAAGCTGTATCACTACGGAAGTAGATTGCCCAGTCTTCTTCCGAGGAGTGGCTGGTGGGTTTGAACCTCCAGCCTTCTGGTTAGCAGTCAGATGCCTTAGGCACTACGCTACCAGAGCTCCCATCAGTCATTTAGGAATGCAAATCAGAAACCACAGTGAGATACCACTTCACACCCACTAAAATGTCTGTAATTTTTTTAAAAAAGGGGGGCGGGAATAACATTGGTGAGGATGTGGAGAAATTCAAACCATTATCCATTGCTGGTGGGATTGTAAAATGGTGCAGCCGCTATGGAAAAGTTCAGCGGTTCCTCAAAAAAATAGGATTACCATATAATCTGTCCCAGTCCTAGGTCTGTACCCTAGAAACCATGGAAGCAAGAACATAAACCTGGGCGCCAACATTCATTGTGGCATTTTTCACAATGACTAGAAGGTGGAAACAACCTAAATGTCCATCAGTGGATTAAAGGATACAAAATGTGGTACATACTTACAGTGGAATATTACTCGGCCATAAAGAGAAATAAAAGTCCCAATGCATGCACACAATGGACTAGCCTTGAAAACATGATGCTGAGTAAGTCACATACAAAAGGTCAAATATTGTATGATTCCAATTATATGAAACAGACAAATGTATAGAGACCAAAGCTTGTTAGTGTTTACTAGGGGTGGGAAGGGGGGCTTTGGTAGCATAGTGCCTAAGGCACTTGACTGCTAACCAGTTTCTTCACTGCTGCTTCCATGGGTGTCAATCGTGGATCCAAGTAAAATGAAATCCCTGACAACTTCAACCTTTTCTCCATGTATCGGAAGAAAGGTTGGGCAATCTACTTCCGTAGTGATACCGCCTCAGAAACCCAAGGAGGGGTTGCTATGAGTCAGGTTTGACTTGAGGGCACATAACCACAACAGCAGCAGCAGCAAGGGTGGGAGGGAGAGGGTTAGGGGGCATCATTGCTTAATGGGCACTGAGTTGCTGTTAATGGTGGTAGAATAATTTGTAAAAGGTTAGTGGGTAAGCAACATGATGAATGTAAGCAATGTTATTTGTTGTTAAGTGCTATCCAGTCAGCTCCAACTCACAGCACTCTATACAATAGAGCGAAACACTGCCTGGTCCTGCACCACCCTCACAATTCTTGCTGTGCTCGGGCCCGTGGTTGCAACCACTATGTCAGTCCATCTCATTGAGGGGCTTCCCCTTTTCCACTGACCCTCTACTTTACCTAGCATGATATCCTCCAGGGCCTAGTCCATCCTGATAACATGACGAAAGTAGTTGAGACGAAGTCTGGCCATTCTCGCTTCTAAGGAGTATTCTGCCTGTACTTTCCCCTAGACAGGTTTCGTTGTTCTTTTCTGGCAGCCCATGGTATTTTCAGTATTCTTCACCCACACCACAATTCAAAGATACGAATTCTTCAGTCTTCCTTATTCATTGCCCAGTTTTCACATGTATGTGAGGCAATTGAAATATCATGGCTTGACATCTTTGTTCTAAACACTCTAAAGAGGCCCCCTGCAGCACATATCCCTAGTGACATCGGGTTTCTTCACTGCTGCCTCCATGGATCCAAGTAAAATGAAATTCCTGACAACTTCAGTCTTTTCTCCATGTATGGTGATGTTACTTACTGGTCCAGTTGTGAGGACTTTAGTTTTCTTTATGTTGAGGTATAATCCATACTCAAGGCTGTAGTCTTTGATTTCCATCAGTAAGTGCTTCAAGTCAGTCACTTAATTGTACATGTAAAAATTGTTGCACTCGCAAATGTTATATATTTTTTACCGTAATTATTAAGCAGGGGAGGACACATTTGGAAACACGTAGGTCACCATCAGAAGACGGCTAAAAGAGTTCCAAGTGGCTGCCAGGAAAGCGAGAGGACGTGGGCAGACATAAATCCTTGTGAACTGCTGTTTATCCAGCTGCGAGCCTTTGAGCAATGACTTAATCTCCAGTCTCAGGCTGTGATAATAGTACGTACACTTCATAGGGTTGCTCTGCGGTTTAAATGATAGGTGTACCCAGAATGCTCAGAGAATGTCATTCATTACCCCGAGGACCTTGAGGGTAGGTTGCAACAGAGGAGAGAAACCCGGCCTCCAAGTCCTAGCTGTAAGGATGGGGCTGGTACCTGGGACTCACCCGGCAGGCTCCCCCTGCCGGTCATATCCTCGCCCCCATTGGCTGCCAGGGGCACCGCCCCGCTCCCAGCACCTGCCGATTGGCTCCTGGGCCAGAACCTGTCGCGTGCCCATCAACTATATGCTACTGTCCAATTCCAGCCGCGCAAGGGAGGGACAGCAGGACAGCCAGGCCAACCAGGGCTGGGCGCGGGACCGAGGCCGCCGGAGGCGCCGTTGGAACCAGGGCTGCTGAAGGTGTGCGGAGGGTGCCCGGCTCTGAGGGTCGCGCGCTGCAGGGCGGGAAGCTCCCAAGGGGCGGTGTCCGGGCTTCCTGAGGTCTGTCGGGCTGCGGCGGCTGCCCGCCTGCCCTCTTGGCCTCAGCCATGGCTCTACCTGTCTCTGTCCTTCCGCTTCCGGGCCCCGCTCTACCGCCATCAGAGACTCCGGGCCCCTCCCCGTCCCCTTAGTTCCAACCCTCACCCCGCCTAAGCCACGAACCCAGCAACCCTCCTGGACCAGGTTGGGCCCACCTTTCTAAGCCCAGGCCTCGCCGTTCGCTTCAGGTTCCGCTCCTATCACCAAAATAAAAAAAAAATCAAACTCTCTGCCATCGAGTCGCTTCGGACTCAGGAACCCCCATTGAGTTTCCGAGGCTGTAAATCTTTCCGGAAGTAGATCGCCCAGTCTTCCTTCCGCGCAGCTGGTGGATTTGAACCACTGACCTTCCGGGTAGCAGTCAGGTCCCTTATCCACTACACTACCAGAGCTCCTTCATATCACCCAGGGTCCCCGTTCATCCAGGTCTTTAGAATCTCCTTCTGGTCTTTGGACCCCCCACCCACGCGCAGAGGGAGTCTAGCTAGGCCCCGCCCACCTCTCGGCACCGCCCACCGTTCTAGTCCCGCGCTGCCTTCTGGGCAGATCTAGCGCCACCACCTGCTACACGCCGGCCCACCTTCCCAAGCCCTGCCCACTGTCTACCTCCGCATTCCTCCCAGGCCCCTCCCCGGCCATAGCAGCCTGGCCCACTAGACACGCCCCCATCCGCAGACCCCGCCTCCGGCCCTCAAACCCTGCTCCAGTGCCCTAGCCCTGCTCGGAGTCCGGGTCGCGCCTAGGTGTGTACTTAGCACTTAGGTGAGTCGTGCGCACCGGCGGTTCCAGTCTGAGCCTCCCCCTCGTCCCGGTGCGTCCCGCACACCTCGCAGCACGGAGGGGCTCCAGAGCAAGGGCGCGGGGCTTTGCAGCCTGGACCCTGCCTCGCAGCTCGCGACCCAGAGCCCCGCCAGCGGGGTTGTCTTGGTCCCTGCACGCGGCAACATGCCCGAGCTAGTGGTGACAGCGCTCCTGGCGCCGTCGCGCCTCACGCTCAAGCTGCTACGCGCCTTGATGTGGAGCCTGGTATACTCCGCCGCGCTGTTGGCCGCGGCGGTGTACGGCTGCATCGCACTGACCCACGTGCTGTGCCGGCCGCGACGCGGCTGCTGCGGGCGCCCCCGGCGCGTAGCCCCCGCATGCTTGAAAGACCCCTCGCTAGGCGAGCACGCCTTCCTGACCCTCAAGGTGAGCGCGCGGAGGGCTGTCGGTTCGCGGGAGTCGAGGCGCCGGGGGTGCGGGATGGCCCCGGCAACCCAGGATTGGGGACGCAGGCTCACTCCGCGCCCTCCCGCAGAGCTCGGGCCTGCGCCTGCACTATGTCTCCGCGGGACGCGGCAACGGGCCCCTCATGCTGTTCCTGCACGGCTTCCCTGAAAACTGGTACATCTGGGGCCGAGAGCCCGGAGGGGAGAGGGCAGCACGGGGCCAAGGAGCTCGGGTGGGCGGAGGGTACAGAGCGAAGAGGGGTCTGGTGAGGCTCCTGAAGACTGGGGGCTGACCCGGGACGCACAGGGAAGGGGGCCCACGGAGGCAAGGGCTGGCTGCTTCGGGATGCACAGGATGGGGTCTGGGCCAAGACTCACAGGGACCGAAGGCCCTCAAAAGTGGGACAAAGGAGTGCGGAGATGAGGCCGCACTGCATCCGAGGTGCGTCCTTGGCCTGGGGTTCCTCTTCTTTCCTTCTGGGATCCAGCGCTGGAAGGTGGGGTTGCCAAAGTTTCCTGTTGGGCTGAGGGCGGAGTTGCAGCCCCAGAGGCCCTGACTCAACCTTCCTATCCGCCCGCCCGGCACACTTGGCAGGTTCTCCTGGCGCTACCAGCTCCGGGAGTTCCAGAGCCGCTTCCACGTCGTGGCTGTGGACCTGCGTGGCTACTGGCCCTCTGATGCCCCGCAGGACGTGGACTGCTATACCACTGACCTGCTGATGGCCGACATCCGGGATGTGATCATGGGTCTGGGTGCGTCGGGGGCAGCCCCATGGACCCGCGCCAGCCTGAGCCCCAATTCTGCGTACACCTCTCCCCTGCCCTTCCTGCCTGCTGTGTCCACCAGCCCTACCAGCTCCCACAATTAAACCAACTTCTCTGGCACCCAGGTTACTCCAAGTGCATCCTCGTGGGCCACGACTGGGGCGCACTCCTGGCCTGGAATTTCTCCATCTACTACCCAGCACTGGTGGAACGGATGGTGGTGGCCAGTGCCGCCCCCATGTCTGTGTACCAAGGTGCTTGGGGAGTCCGGCTGTGTAAAGGGAGTGGGTCTGTGCTTCTGTAGCCACCAGTCAGCACACAGGAGCTAGGGTTAGAGTGCTGACCCCAGAAGGTGGTGTTCCCTCATATGGTGCTTCCTATCTAAAATCAGTGACTGCCCATCAGAGTCACCCCCACTTTTCAAGCACTTACAGGTAACCATTGCTTTGATAAGGACCCTGAGCGCTTTAACCTACATATGCCTCCTGTGCTGATGAAAGCATTGGGGAAACTTGGGCACGGAGTTGTGCAATGGCTTTTTTCTGGCAGGAAGGACATAGATAGCTAAGTGTTCCAATAGCACGAGATGCATCTCTGGCTGCCTCATGTCCATCCCATCACCTGATTTTAATTCTCTTCCTCTCTGCCTCTGTTTCTCCCTGTCACCATCTTTCTCTCTCTTCTTTAAGTGTGTTTGTTTGACTCCTGTTATTTGTCAGTCTCCATCTCTCGGTCTCTGTCTCTCTTTCTAAGTATTTCTTCCACTCCATCTGTTTATCTTTGTCTCTATCTCCCTCCATCCCTGGTCTCCATCTCTGTCTGTTTCTTCTTGTTTCTTATCTCTCTCCCCCTCTAGACTCCAGCTACCCATGGGTGAGGATTTTTGTCTGTCTTGTTCCCTGCTGTGCACCTGAATAAATGTTTGTGGCGCAGCAGCGGAAGACCCCTGGAGTTGTGGGCATAGGGGCGCCTGCACTCCTGTTGCAGACGGAGGCCCGATATTCCATGGGTACCACTCGGCTGGAGGAACACGAGGGTCTGGGCTGGGGAGGGGGGCGCTGAGTGTCTCCACAGGCTCAGGCAGCAACGGCACTCCTGTCAGTATGTCAGTATCCCTGGCCTGGATGTGTATGGGCTACAGGGGTGTGAGGCTGGCCCAGGCCCAGACCTCACATCTGCCTTCTCTCTCCTACCAGACTACGCCTTGCGCCACATCAGCCAGTTATTCCGTTCTCACTATGTGTTCCTGTTCCAGCTTCCCTGGCTGCCTGAAAAGTTGCTGTCCATGTCTGACTTCCAGGTGCCGTGGGGTAAAGACCTGGGGATGGGTTAGTCAGCTGGGTCTGGATGGACAGGGCACTGAAGCCAGTTTTGCTGTATGCCCAGATCCTGAAGACCACCTTCACTCACCGCAAGACGGGCATGCCACACTCTACCCCCAGTGAGCTTGAGGCCTTCCTCTACAGCTTCACACAGCCTGGTGGCCTCGTTGGGCCCCTCAATTATTACCGCAACATCTTCAGGTGAGATCTGACCCAGGGCAGAGGTTAAGGAGATTTGCAGGAGGTGATGGGGAGATAGCCATCCTCTGCCTAACTGTCTGTCTGTCTCGGCCGCAGGAACTTCCCCTTGGAGCCCCAGGAGCTGTCCACACGCACACTGCTGTTATGGGGGGAGAAGGATACCTACTTGGAGGCAGGGCTGGTGGGCGCCATTGGCAGCCGCTTTGTGCCAGGCCGGCTGGAGGCTCACATCCTGCCAGGTGTGGGGCACTGGGTCCCGCAGAGCAACCCCGAGGAGATGCACCAGTATATGTGGGCCTTCCTGCAAGACCTGCTGGACTAGTGGCCCTCGCTCACCTCTCTCACTGGCCTGCCTAGTCACATAGCATGTGGACACTTGGGAGCACACACTTGCAGTGTGCATGTGCCTGGGAATCCATACAACGTACATGCACGTGAATACTCAGGATCACACACCTGCTGCATGTGTGTACCAGGAGTCCACACAACATGTATGCATATGGCTACTCAGAAACACACCCCCGCTGTGTGCATGTATACACCCGGAAGTCCATACAACATATGCACATAGACACTCAAGGACACACACCTGTGGCCTGTGTGTGTGTGTGTGTGTGTGTGTGTACACACCTGGGAGTCCACCCAACATAGATGCATGTGTGGACCCCTGGATCACACACAGGCCTGGGACTCCTGGGTCACACAGAAGTTCATCCATTCAGGTACACCAGCCTGTATGCTCACCCCTCAGCAAGTGTGAGCAAGCACTCTGACCCTGGGAGTTGGGTACACCTCTCCTTCATGGAGCTGGATGCTGGGACTGGTATCCCACCTCACCTTTCTTGGGCCCTTATCCTTCTTCTTGCCAAAGTCTGACATTCCCCCACCTCCGCTCTGGTTACACAAGCCATGAACTGGCACCTTCCTGTTCTTGGTTTCCATTCCAGTCTGGGTCTTCAGCTGAACGCTGTGCTGTCCAGCACACTAACTGCTAGCCACATCGGGCTACTTCAGTTTCTATATAAATTCATTGAAATGAAATACAATTAAAAATTCAGTTCTGCAGGCTCATCAGCCGTATTTTAAGTGCTCAACAGTCATATTTCCATCCGTCTAGGAAGTTATATTGGACAACACTGAAGACGGTATACCTGGCTCACGGGCGGGCCCTCCCTGCCTGGCTGTGGACCATCTCTTCCTCATCCCGAGAGGACCCTCACAGGCAGGGGCCAGATGTCTAGACTCTTCTCTGGCTGCCCAGGGACCCCCTCCCCGTTGTCACAGCTTCAGGTGTTGGGAGGTCAAGTTCTCTCACCCCAGCCTGGGCCAGGCTGCCTTGGGTCCTTGGGAAAGCAGCTCTCAGCTGTGGGATTCCAGACTCAGTAGAGGAAAGGAGCCACACCCTAACTGGCCATCGGAGTCTGAGAAGAATCTCCATATAAGCCAACATGTCTGCTGACTTTTCTCAGGGGGCCTCTGGCTACAGCCTCCACACAAAAAGCAGGTGAGGGGACAGTCAGGCCTGGGCCACCTGGCCCCAGCCTGCTCCGAGCACCAGCTTCTGTCTCCTGGACTTTGGGGACAGCACGTCCCTGCGTGGCACAAATGGTGGTGCCTGACTATCAACCTAAAGCTTAGCAGTTTGAATCCATCCAGCCGCACTGCTAGAGCAAGGCCTGGCAATCTGTTTCTGGAAAAATCACGGCCGAGAGAATCCTACAGAGCAGTTCTACTCTAACAGAGGGGCATGGGGGTCCACTCCAGAGCAAGGTTTTGTTGTTTATCACCTGCACACAGACAGTGTGGGGCTCTCTTGGGACCCAAGGGGTCTTAGGAATGTTGTTGTTAGGTGCCATCGAGTCAGCTCCCACTCAGTGACCCTGTGCACAGCAGAACAAAACACTGCCCAGTCCTGTGCCAGCCTCACAATCCTTGCTATACCCGAGCCCATCGTTGCAGCCACTGTGTCAATCCATGTTGTTGAGGGCCTTCCCCTTTTTCGCTGGCCCTCTACTTGATACCCTTCTCCAGGGAATGGTCCCTTCTGACAACATGACCAAAGTAAGTGAGACCACGTCTGGCAATTCTCCCTTACAAGGAGCATTCCGGCTGCACTTCCAGGACAGATTTGTTAATTCTTGTGGCAGCCCATAGCACTTTCAGTATTCTTCACCAACACCACAACTCAAAAGCATCAACTCTTCTTCGGTCTTCCTTATTCATTGTGCAGCTTTCACATGTATATGAGGCGATTGAAAACACCATGGCTTGGGTTAGGTGCACCTTGGTCTTCAAAGAGACGACTTTGCTCTTCAGCACTTGAAAGAGGTCTTTTGCAGCAGATTTGCCCAGTGCAATATGTCGTCTGATTTCTTGGCTGCTGCTTCTTAGGAATACATTCTCCTGTTTTGGGGATAGGTTTGCCTAGCCCAAGCCTGCCTGCTGGTCACCAACATCTGCCACACAACACACACCCTCATCCATCACCAACACAGTATTCTTTTGTGAAACATGTACCAAGTACTCTAGACCCTGGGGTACAGTGAAAGCAAGATGAATCTGTTCAGGGATTACAGAGGAGAGGAGTATGGATGTGGCAGGGTCAGGGAAGGCCTCCGTGGGAAACCAGAGCGTGGAGGCACTTTTCAGGTGGCAGGGACAAGTCTGGGCCTTTGGAGTAACCGGGCAGGGAAGAGGAGCTGGGTAGGGTGGGCAGGGGGCACGTGGGAGGAGAGGCGGCCCCTGCCAGACCGCCAGGGCCCCAAGGATTTGGATCTGAGTCTCAAGGGGCGGCTTTTCAGCAGGGAAGGGACATGGTTTGCATTTTGAAGAGCTCCCTGTGGCGGCTGGACAGCCCCACGCAAGAGAGCGAGCAGGAGGCAGGCAGGGGCTCCAGGTCCTCCCCACCCCTGCTCCCAAACCAGGGTGGGCGCAGTGTCCCGGGGGGGAGGAGTCGGGGGGCAGGACGAAGGTGGACCCCCATCCTGGGGTACAGGTCTGGGGGAGGAGACCCTCAGGCAGCAGAGGGACGGCGTCTCGGGGCTGTGGGGCTGCGCACCGTTGCCAGGGGGATCAGGGAAGGGTTGATGGCGGACCGGAACTGGTAACGGTTGTCTAGGGGACCGGAGAGGCCCGGAGGAAGGCTGACTGGAGGCCTCGGGCAGTTGCCGGGGCGACCGGCTCCGCTGACTGTTGCCAGCGGCAACGGGAAGGCGCCGCGGCCGCCGCCACGGCAGCCGCGGGCAGAATGGGTGGGGAGGCTTAGGAAGGAAACGATCGCGTTGATTGGGCAGAGGCCTGGTGAGTGAGCTAATAGGAGTCCCACTTCCTCCAGCCTGAGCCAATACGGGCGCGTCTTTCTGGCAGCCTAGGGGCTCAGCGTGCCCATAACCTCAGTACTAAGGGATTGCAGGGGGTCGGCCCAGGTTGGCACTCCTCCTAGCCTCCCAAGCTTGGCTTCTCCTCTCAGCTCTGAGGCTCCTCCTCCAGACCACCTCCCATCATTTACTCATTCATTATTCTTCCCTCATTCATTTACTCACTCATTCATTCACTCCTCACTCATTTGCTCATTCATTCATTAATTTACTCATTCATTCACTGACTCATTCATTCACTTTGCTCATTTGCTCACTCAACCTTTCATTCATTCACTCACTCATTCATTCATGCATTTTTTCATTCCCTCGCTTGTCCCTGCCACCTGTTCTGTTCCCATCTGGTCCCGCACCAGAGGAAAGGTGGAAGAGACAGAGCACAGGCCACAGGGCACAGACTCCCAGCCCCATGAGGTCAGCCTAGGGTGGAATGAGTAACTGGGAGGAAGGGGAAGCAGTTACCTGGGGGGAAAGAGGAAGACTGCCTGGAGGAGGCAGTTTTGGAGCTGAACTTGCAAGAAAGGGCTCCAATTCATGGAAACCCCCCATGCAAAGGGTGGTTTAGCAAAGTCTTGGATGAGAATAAGGCAGATGTGGGATTATAAAGGGTTTGCATTTGTTCCCTGGTATGGTGGGGAATCAGGGAGAAGGGTCAGTAGGGGAGGACCTGTGTGTCTAGAACACCACTGTGGGGAGGGCTGGTGAGAGGGTGTGGCCAGAGGAGGCAGACTAAAGGGGTGGGAGGCTAGAAGGAGGCCTGTCTTGGTCAAGACACCAGGCAGTGAGGCCACAGTCTAGGGTCTGGATGTTTGGGGAAGTGGCAGAGATAAGTTTGGGGTCTGATCAGTCAGAAGGGCCTAGGAAATGCCCTGAAGTGGGGACTGGACCTCTAGGACAGAGGCCTGGAAGCATCTCATAAGTTGAAAACAAACACCAGAGCGACCACGGGGGTATTGTGTGCCATTGAGTTGATTCTGACTCGTGGTGAACCTATAGGATAGTGTAGGACAGTCCCATAGGGTTTCCTAGGCTGCAGTCCTTGTGGGAGCAGATTGCCGGGGCTTTTCTCACGTAGTGGGTTCAAACCTCTAACCTTTCAACTAGCAGCTGAGTGCATAATCATTGTGCCACCAGGGCCCTGTGACCACCATGTGACTTAGCAATCCCACTCCTAGGTATCTGCCCAGAAAAAGTGAAGGCAGGAACCCAAACAGAAACCTGAGTATCACTGCTCATTGCAGCACTTTGCACAATAGTCAAAATCTGGAAACAACCCAATGGCCATAAACACAATGTGGTCCATCCACACAATGATACATTATCCTGCCACAGAAGGAAGGAAGTCCTGACACATGCCACAACATGGATGAACCTTGAAAACATCATACTGAGTGAAATAAGTCAGTCACAAAAGAACAAACACTGTATGATCAGCAAATATATAGAAACTATGTATTTCTCCAAGAAGGCACTCTGGTGGGCATGATGCCTAAGACATTTGGCTGCTAATGAGGTCAGCAGTTCAAATCCATCAGCCCCTCCATGGAAGGAAGATGGGGCAATCTACTTCCGTGAAGATTTACAGTCTCAGAAACCCAGTGGGGGTCGCTGTGAGTTGGAATCGACTGGATGGCAGTGAATTTGGTTTTTGGTTTGGTTGTAAAGAAACCAGAGATTTTTAATGTTTACCAGGATGAGAGGGAGGGAGGAAAGGGAGAGTTATTTTGCTTAAAAAAAAAAATTGAAAACAAAACTAAACTAAAAAAACAGTTGCTATCAAGTTGGTTCTGACTCATGTGCCCTGACATGTGCAGAATAGAACTGCTCCATATGGTTTTCAAGGCTGTGACCTTTCTTTGAGTTGCCGCTGAGTGGGTTCACACCACCAACTTTCTGGTTCCTAGTTGAGTGTGTAACCACTGGCACCACCCAAACACTCTGGAGTTTTTTCTTAGA